CTTGAAAGACGATGTGTACAACACAAAGTCAGTTAGTTACTCACAGCTGTCAGCTGTGCCACGAAACAAACGGTGGTCGTTTTGAACACCTACACTAGACAGCTAATTCGCTAAGTGTCAATGCTGCTGATGTATTTAATGGTTTTGTTCATTAAAATGTCTTTATTTAATCTTTTTGGGACATTCTGTATTTTGAAGTTCTTCATGTCCTATTACAAATTTACAAACTTAATATTTACAAGGTAAGTTTACTGTCGGTATGTGCGATGGCAAAGATGAATGATCGGACGTCCTAGCCTAAAAATCACCAAGCGCATGCGCGCGGTCACCATGGAGCCCTCAAGGGTTTTTGGGGCGCCAGTTTAGAATATTCACATTTCATAAGGAGTTTTAAATGTTAACCTTGTTGGCTGTCCGAATTTGCCATACTCTCCCTATATTTGCTCTTGAGCCAGCTGGTATACAAAATGCGTTGACACAGTAGCAATGTGATTATTTCAATTCCCGTCCCTTTTTTGGTGGATTCATTGCGACGCCGTGTATAAATTATAAGTTTCTAGTTGGCCGCCACACAGAAAAGTTTGGCGACCCCTATCCTAGCCGATAGATGGAATGCAGATACCTCATATAGTTGCCTAGCAACAAAACGGGGAGTGTACGTTGAAGCTTTCGTGCAGACAGTGAGAAGCTCTGCTGGCCTGTGAGTGCAACCACCCTGTTCGTTTCTTCCTAGAAGCGCATCTACGAATTAATCTTGGAGGGTGTTTTAATAAACGAACTTAGGTAATGCTATTCACATAATATCGGTCCCTACTCTACCAAACTTCTCTTTTCAAACCAGATTTTGTATAAAATAATTTTCTTTCATGCTATTTTCAATATATAATGGGGAGTATAATCAGTAAAACAGTTTCTAACTACGACTCCATATGCAATGCACCAGTTAAAAGGGACAGAAGCTTCCGACCTACCGCAAATGCAACGTAGCTTTGTCTGATTCAAGGAAACGCAAACTTTCTGCTTTTACTCATTTTAGGACAGGTTAAGGGAGTCTCTGTGGAGGTCTGGTGACGTCCGTCAATGTGAATTAATTCATCCATAATAAAACCCTCACATTTAACAGTGCTACAACCTAACGAGGGGGTTGAAAATCTGAATATCTCTGTCTCTAAATGTCATAGGTCGAAGTATGACAAGAAGATCTTCATCAAAAAACATATATCCTTAAGTAAAAGCAACATGTTACTCCTGCTTCGTATTCGGGAGGTCCCAGGTTTAAATCTCGGCTCGAAGACCGACTAATGACGTTTTTCGTAGTCCCTTCAGACAAATTCCGGAATAGTACCTGAAAATAATCCGAGGCCGTTTCCTTCCATAGCCTTTCCAATTCATTAATCACCCTATTGAGTCTATGTATCTTTAGTTGGATAGGAATCCTACTCGCATTTTAGAAATGACATATTAATATGTTTGATTTCTTGTTTTTATATTTAATAAATCACAAATAAATTAACAATGTTATGAAGACATTGATAATAAGCTACTAACACATTTTGTAACAGCGTAACTAAACCTTCATTATTAAATTGAATCTTGCAGAAAGCTGTTCGTGTTTTGTCTATACACCTCAGGAAGGCGATGTTTAATCAATAACCCACCCACCCCTTCTAAATACGACGCTGATTCTACAATTTCATGCCATAAAATGGTCTGTACACTTCCAATCTGTTACGTATACTGGGTCGTAAACGTCTGGTACACGGAAAGTCTGCTGAGTGGTTAATATATCGACCGGGTCTGCACACAACGACTCCCTTGATCAAACTACTCACGCTAGAATTCCAGACATATGAAAGAGCTCAGCGTTGAGGTAGGCCAAGTACGCCATGACGAAGATGAAGATGGGCTCTATGACTCGGACCTGGTTTGTGTATCGGGTGACCAGGCCTGTGAGGAATCCCCACAAGACGCCAATGATGGTGCCACCAAGCGCCACCACAAAGAACGAAGTAAATCCCATCACGAGGTCTATATACAGAATGTTGCTGGGTCCCATCTCTGTGTAGGACTCGAACAAGTGATACAGCACCTGCAGAGAAAAGTACGATTCCATCACATCGCTTAAGACAGACGAGGCAGTAGGATCCTGTCAACTATCTCTCATATGTTGGGTCAACACACTTTACGTATGGTTCATTATTTCTTTCGTCGTGTATTTATTCACTAACTTATTTTATATTCATCCCTTTATTTATTTACTTACTATTTCTATTAAGATGGCTGTCTTCTGGGTCGTTGCGCCATGTAATCTAGTGGAAGTTTACCAACGTTTCAGAAGTCCTTGCTGCCTCTACCATCTGGGCCTCTGAAACGTCGGTAAACTTCTACCATATTACATGGCGCAACAACCCAGAAGACAGCCATCTTAAAACTCACCGCCGTGAAAACCTCAAATCCTACATATTTTTATTAATTTACCAACTGCCGATAAAGAAGGCAGAATCTCTGAAACACTGGATATTAGCTGCATTCTCACAAGTCTGATTACCAGCGAAGACTTAACTGTACTTAATGGATTTTTTGATACGTCGTCGGACACAGCTGTGTGAGCAGAGCCTGTCTGTCCACAAGGCCATCGAAATATAAACGATCGGTGAAGAAGCTGACTCAAACAACAAAGCTTGTTTGTTTCGTGTTTTTCGTTTTCGGAGATGCCCGGTTTGAATCTCAGTTGAAACAATGGTTTCCTGAATAAGAATTTAATAGTTTTCCTCAGTTCTTTTAGGCGAATTTCCGGATCGGTTACAAACAAATATACGTACTACTTAACATGACAGAGCGTAGACCCACAGCCGGATGTAGCACACATAGGCCTATAAATCGGACAATATGTGATATAGGACGACTTCATAACACTGCAAATTGAAGCGGGTTATCACAAATACGCCTCCACTCAGTATTCAAACTGAATGTTAAAAAAAGCATCACATTTATACAATTTCCCGCGAAGAAGATGGAGCCAGTAATGGTCGAAGACCTAACTGGCATTTTTCGTCGATTCACGTGATGGTCAAAATATATCTAAATAGTAAAAAGAGACCCATACTCACTGCCGTGTTTACAGCAAGACACTGATTTTTACACAGATTCTGAAAAAAAGTGTCGAACGGCATTTACTGCAAGCCACGTGCTGTTCGAGTGCAAATTGGTGTATTGTGTACGTCAAGGACAACAGATATTAGGTTAGATGAGGACATAATTATTCCCCCATCAGTAAATGCAAATTACAACTCCCGCAAGAATAATTTTCATTATCTCTCAGGCTGCAAGCGAATAGGTCAATCGCGTACAGTTTACAAGTTTTAAAACGCACTACGTTTCAAAAGATTTAAAACAATTTAACAGTCGATGGACAAAGTCCAAACAGAGAAAATGGTGATGACTATCTTCTGGGTTGTTGCGCCGTGTTGTCTGATAGAAGTTTACCGACGTTTCAAAGGGGCTTATTGCCTCCACCATCGCCCTGATAATAAAGGCATCTCTAAACCGGCGTTAAATTTCTACCAGACATCACGGTGCAACAACCCACCTTTCTGATAGGTGGATAAATATTTATCACATTTATCGAGAAAAAATAACGAATATTTGTAAAAGGTAAAATAAAATACATAAAAGTAAATCGCACGGCACAGTTAAGTTGTTCCAGCCTTTGGAAAACGCTGCTTTAGCTTCGGTAGAATCGAGCGCTGGGGGCCTGAGCCTTCCGAAAACTTGGTGTTGTGACACTCACCACTGTGACTGCGTCGTTGAGCAGACTCTCGCCGAAAACGACGATGTACAGAATTTCGTTAACATGTATCTCTTCAAATACAGCGAGTACTGCAACTGGATCCACTGCAGAGATAAGGGATGAGAAAAGAAGCATGTCCAGCAGCGGGGTGTCGCACGAAAACAGGCCGCTCTGCCCCACAGCCCACAGAGACACACCTGGAACAGGCACGTGATGTTAGTACCTCAACCTGCAGTAAAGAAACACTCTTGCCCAAAACATTGATCTCATACACCGGTTACAGCTGCTGCTACGTACCACAGAGACCTGTTCGTATTTCCGCGGATTTACGAACTGAGATCGCGTGCCCGGCCAGCTCCTCAGTTTAACTATAAACATTGAGAAACATCGCGAATAGCGTAGATTATTCTAGGAATTGTTGAAAAGTCCAGATTACCATCTCTAGCGTGTATAAAAGTGTAGTGTAGAGTCAGTCTATGATAGTAGACTATCAGCGGAACCCACGTTCGTGGATTGCAAAGTGCTCTGTCTGCCGACATTACGACGTGGAAGAAAGCATTTATACCCAGATAATCAAAACAGTGATCTGTGGAGCGTCAGGCAATGATTAAGAAAATAATAAACTACGTACGGTGTGAAATAAACTCATCGTATTGAGAACCCATTTTGTAAACACTGATTACGTTACAATATTTTAGGCAAGTTCGAAACTAAATGTTGCAAAAATGCGACTATTTCTTTCGCCATTTCTTGGCTGCCCGGGTGTAACAATGGAGAACCGCAAAACAGATTTTCATGAACTTAGATATTGAAAGTTTCACTAAAACTTGGTTAAAATCTGACAAAAATAACGGGCACTTCACATAAACTTCTAAATGCGTTTCAGTGTGCAGGTATGACCAGGCGGAAAATACCCTGACAGACAGATGCCCACACCACCTGAGATATATCTTGCGGTCTCTTGAAGAAGAGAGTTTTTAGTGACTCCGTATCGACAAAATCTGCCGGAGCTAAGGGTACTGTAGAGTGTACCACTGAAACCAGGGCTTCAGTCTTACAATAAACAATTTCTGAGCCGGTCTGGCAACCAGTTTCAGGCTGAAATAATTTCATCAAGATATGAGACAAATTCAGTTGTTCATTTGTGGCTTATTTAACGACGCTGTCAGTAAAAAAGACTACAGACTATAGTGTCGGATGATTAATAAATCATGAATTGGAAAGTACATTGAAGGAACTGGTCGTGGCCTAATGTAAGGTGTTACCCCGAAAATTTAAAAGTAGTGACTGAGGAAAACCAAGAAAAATATCAGCCAGGATTGACCGTTTTTGGGCCAAGATTTGAACCCGGAATCTCCCAGATAGGAAACACTGGTGTAATTCACTCGGATGCTGCGCTTAGTGTTGTCAATCTTATTTAGTGAGACATTTACACATTTAAAGGCAGACTGAATGGCAAACAGCTTCATGAAATGAAGCTACACAAAAGCGATAATATGAGGACTGCGTAATGTTTCCGGTTGGCCCAAAACAACACGTAAATCAAATTCCAAATAAATCCTTAGGGAATAAGGCATCATGATGAATGCGGTTCATCCCGTAAACCATGTGCCTTCCCTGTAATTTGTTCCATTCTTAGGTAATTGAACGACCACCTACCAACAGCAAACCACTCTTGGAGGCAAGTGAGAGATTGAACTGCTAAGTAACTGGAAAACGTGACCTATTCCAAGACCATACCAGCAGCGGATGAGGCAAATGTCGTAAACGTCGGAGAGGAGAGTCAGTATCACGGTTGAAAACCATTAAAATCGAGGTAACTACTCACCGATGGTGAGAGTGTTGAAGATAGTTCCAACGACAGCGAAGAGAAGTATGGTGCCCAGGTGGTCGAAGAACAGTCGATTCGGCATGAAGTATCCGGCATCCAATATAATTGGAGGGAGCATGTACAGGAAAAACGTGTCGGGTGTCAGGGGCGAGACGTGCATGCTGCCCGTTACAATGAGCAGGGCGCCAATTATCAGCCCCACAACAACCAGCAGGCACGACTCTGGGAAGATTTTCGACAGTGTTGGCGTCATGTGGAAACCTGGAACAACAACAAAAACAAAAGAAAATAAATCACTGGAACTCGAGGAGACTTCGAGTGCGGACAGGTGGCGAGAAGCAAACTTAATCCGTTATTATAACGTTACTTAAAAAAATGTACGCGCTTTGAGAGGTCGAGGCGGAAACAAATTGAATAATGATCTTCTGGGTTATGACGCCGTGTAGTGTTGTAGATTGTTACTGTCCACGGAATTTATCTGGAGTCTTAAAGATAGGGGAAGAAAGGTCAGTGTGATTCGCTCTGCACATGCTTTATTCGGAAGCGTCGTCAAGCAGACTAAACATATCTTTATATCTACACAGTTGGATCTTAACATGACGCTTAAGTGCTAATATTAACTGTTTAAAGCTCACTAGCACCACCTGCTTTGACAATCTGTAACTTTGAATTTTGCCCAAGAGTGTATTTATGGGTGTCATACGATTCTCAGTGTGAACAGCTTCTATTTCCATAAACAGCATTAACCAACTGATCTCTGTAATACAATTTAAATTGTGGATTCCCTTTTAGCAGGAAAAAGGATAAACCAATTCGCCCCATACTTGGCATGCTTATGTACTGAAACCAGGAGGAGGTTTCAGGAAGGATGTGACTCCTCAAACTTGTCCTGGATTTGAGTCTCGGTGAGAATGGTTTCTGTAGCTGGGAAAATGAGTACGATGGAATAAGGAGGCCAAGATAAAAGTTGTTTGTTTCGGCTAGGATATTACAGTAACAAGGACCACAACTCCGAAAGCTGGCCTTTATTCGAGTCCCGGTAAAGATATTTTCTAAACCTCGGAAAATAATGACAGCAGAAAAACATAAATAAAACCAACACTGTTTGTTGTGGGGAGGAGATTGCATAAACAACGGTACAAGTCCGAAAGACTGTCTTAACTTGAAAATCTGATTAAGGCGCTTTCTGTGCCTGGGGAAATAATGACATATATGAGACCGGCTTTATTTATTTCGGAAAGGAAATTACAGGAACCCCAGCCCTGAAAAACGTATCTTGGGTTTGAGTTCTTGTGTGTAAATCAGTGTTAAAAGACAAATTAACTAAATATGATAAAACAATGGTTCTAAAATAAAAACTGAAATTTTCGGCGTGGAAATTAACCAACCCCCAACGTATATGCAAACTAGTTTCAGCAGGTATTTAAGTTTTCACTTTTTATTTATGTTTCTGTTATTCTTGTCATCGTGCCCAAAATGTAATTGGTTGTTTGGTTTAAAATTAATAAACTGCAGTGGTCTGACTGTCACATATCAAAATATCAGACTAAAGTAAAATTTTAAAACAAATAAAACTGCCATAACCTCAATGTTGTTATTTCATTATCTTCACTGTATAATGAACATTTTTCATACTCGGTCACCAGTGCCTCATTTTTGGAGACGGTAAATCCTGGGTGGAGTAAAGGTAACAGACACCAAGACATTCGTCCTGCCACATACATTCGCTATTTTCCTTGTTTCACAAAGGAGAGCCATCTATCAGTTTCAGGTATTCGAACACTGAAATAGAACAAGAAAACTAAAGTATCCTAAATCTCAATTCCTGGATTTGATCCATTCTATTTCTGGTCTCTATAGTGGTCGAAGAGAATAAGTTAATTGTGGTCTATAATGTCCCAATTATTACAAGTCACAGCAGAAATTACATAATAGATCAGGGATTTGTTTTGTACGCTGCTTTACGCCTGCAGTAGCCGCAACTTATTGAACCGCTGAGTGTAGCGGGTCTGTATCTCTGCTCCAGTATCGAGGTCAAGTGATGTGAACTACAAGCTCGGAAAATGCGTTATGCAAAATACCCGAATGTCAAATCTTTTACACCGCATAAAGCGGAAGCAAGAAGTGTAATTGTTATTTGCAAATCTTGTTCTGACAAATATTTATATTCCAAAATGGCTGTCTTTTGAGCTGTAAC